TTTAAAAATTCAAATATAATTAATTAAAATTCTTTAAATATAAATTATCCAAACATAAATAAAGATCAATATAACATAAATAACTAAAAAATTAATAATAGGTTGAATAAAATTAGATTAAATTTAAATTTTATTAAATTAGATTTAAGTTTAAAAGTTGAATTAAATTTAAAATAAAATTAATTTATATATTATTTTAATTTTTCATGAAAATAAAAATTCTCACGAGATCCCGCAAGATGAGAAAATTTCCCCACAAATTTTTAAAGGGAGAAAATCCTTCCCGTCCCCACTCCACAGGAAGAAATATTTTTTCTCGTCTCATCCTCATGAGGAGGATCTCTACAGGATCCCACGAAAATTAAAGCAAGTTGCCATTCCTAATCGGATCGTACCCTTCTAAACAGCACAGGACTGGAAGCCTTCACGGCTGAAAGAACAAAAACCTAGAAATTTTAGATTTGCTTATTCGATTTACCTACCAAGAGAAAAATTAATGTATCAATTGCATACAACTAAATAAAAAAGTGATTTTCAAAATTTTTTAATGATTTTGACAGCATCAGGATTATTCATGGGTGATCTGTGGACATGAAATGTTGATACTGCCAAAACTGTCAAAAAGTTTTCGTTTTCCGCAACCTCAAAATTAAACCCAGAAGTGCTTAAACATATCTAAACACCCAAAAAAAAAACTATCTCAAATCCGTTCTAATATTAATTTCCTCTTCAAACAGTTCCGACCAAAAACCTTCCAAAATCTCTTTTATAAACAAAAAGATGTAAAATAAAAATTTCCCTAGAATGAGCACATGGGGTTTTCAAACTCATAATTAAATCTGTGGTCATTTAACTTCAGCTCAAAAAATAAAATAATATCTGTGGTCATTTGCACCCAGAAATCTAAAAAATATGATTATAAACATGATATTTATAGAAGCTTCAAGGAAAAATTGACAGTACAACGAAAAAAAAAAAGAAAAAAGAAAAAAGAAATAAGTAGCCAACGCCTAGAAATCTAACCATTGCTATTGAAGAGGCCGTTGATCCAACGGTTAGAAGAGTCAACGGCATGTTAGCACTAACAGGGCACCGCTCTATTTCTCTTCACGTCATCAGTCAAATAATGCCCTGCAGTAATCTGTGTCCGCAAAAGCTGAAAAGTTCATTCAATCAGAAGACCATTGGATGTAAAACAGCTCATAAAGTGAAAGTTGAAGGACAACTTTAAGACTTTTTAAATTCAGACGACAAATGTGACCTCCTTTTGAATCGGAGATAATTCCAACCAGTACTACCCTACCATGCTATCTTTATTTTTTGATAAAGACCTACCATGCTATCTCTTTTCAGACGACAAATGTGACCTCCTTTTGAATCACAAATAATTCCAACTAGTACTGTAGACCCCCATGTGGCCAGTGGTGATAATGTTGTTCTTGAGCAGTTAGTGGACTGCATTCATTTCAGAAGTTCAATCTTCTCTTAACATTAATAGATATTAACATATTTTTAATCAATTTTTACGGTAAAAAAAAAAAAAATTCCAGCTAGTACTACCCTACCATGCTATTTTTATTTTTGATAAAGACCTACCATGCTATCTTTATTTTTGATAAAGACCTACCATGCTATCTCTTTTTCCTTTTCACACAAAACGCGTTAGAGTGTTTCATCCAAAAAAAGGAAGAAAAAGAAAAAAAGCGTTTAGTGTTTCAGTTTGAATTCTCCTGACTCCTGCCCTAAACGCGTGAGTGTGCGCGTTTTGAGTCACGTGAAATTCCAAGTAACTAGTACCCCTTTTTCTTTTTTTTCTTTTTTTTTTTTTTTTTTCTTTTCACGCACAAAACGTCTATAAGCTTTCTCTTTGAATTCTCCTGCACCAGAAACTTTCACGCTCACTCCACTCGCTCCTACTTTTTTCATCAATATTGCATTTGATCTGCTT